TGCATATCAGCCCTCTGAGCAGCAGCAAGATACCAAACCAAAACAAAATGAACACTCAAACCTAAGACAGCAACCGGTTGTCGTGACACAAAAGTCAGACAGTTTCCGAGGCTAATTTATATGTTCACCATTTTTCCCCCTTTTTTTTTACCGTTTAAAGCCTGATCCAAGAATAAAACAAAACAGAAAATTACTTGAATTCCTTATTTGCCCTTTTAACAAAATATGTGAAAAGAAAAAACAGAAATACATTTTTGATATTAATAATTTATTACTATGCGATAAGTCAAGATTATTTTTTGTGTAGTCTTCTGCTGGCTGTTATCAGGTATATCTGATTGTGTACAATAGGATTTTGAGCAAAGTTTTTACCATTTAATTATGCAAAAGGTGTCAGATGCAAAACATTTCAGAAACCATATGTATCAAATATGATACATTTGGCATTACAGGGTTAATTGAGCTTTTTTCAATCTTAAAATGAAATTCATTCTTTCCACAGTGAATATTTCCTCCACACTGTCCATCCACTGAGTATGGCTGGGTGGCTCAGTACCGAGTCATCTTATTGTTGTTTCTTTCCTCCCAGCTGACAGTAATATCTTAACCAAATATTGATCATATTTTTTCACATAAATTTCACATCCAGATATATTTTAGTACAGACTACAACAGTACTTTGCACAGAGTAAGGTGGATAGAAGACCAGAAAGGTTTTAACCCAATGCAGTTCCGGCAAACATGTTCATGGTTGGCGTCAGCTGTGCCACATTGCCTGCAACACTTTCATTATTGCTTTTTAATTACCAAAAATTGTTTTTTTTTTTTTTACCCTACATATCTCTGATCATATCTGCTCCTAAGCAGGGAGTAAGTACAAAGGCAGTACTGGAAAACGCTAAATAGATCATGCCATAATTTATTTTCTTAAAGATGATAAACATGAGTCTAAAACCAGGAACAAACCTTTTAATCATGAATGCTTTTTCTTCCCATGTAAATGCAGATTACCTTGAGGTCCTTTACCCTCAGAAGACCATAACTGCTGTTAGAGGATCAACAGTCAAACTATCCTGTGAGGCAAACTATGATTATAAAAAGTGTGGAATAGTGCACGTGGTGTGGCATAAGATCAAAGAGGAAGGGGAAAACAGTTTCGAGCTGACTGACCCCAGTCAGTACTTCACCACAGTCAACGAGACAATCACCTACGGCAACATGAGATGCAGACAAGTTGAGACGGAGATTATGAGTGTGCAATCCCCACACAACGGAAGATATCAGTGCAAAGCTACATGTAAATCTGGAGAGCAAGCAATGGGGCATTTCATCACTGTCAATATTAAAGGTAAGTTAATTAAGAAACTTTTAAATTAATTCAGAATATTTCACTTAAAACAATAAAATCTACACAGCTGACCATAATTAAAACATTTCATGATTCATGTTCACGCAAATCCCTTGTTTTGTATCTTTCAGGTAGAACATTCAACTGAGCTGTTTTTTTTTTCTATTAAAATTATAAGAAATAAATGACCATGGATCTCTGGACCGGAACATCTTATATTGAGTCAAATTATATTTTTGTGCTTATTAAAATTTTTTGTTTTTTGTAATTTGTTCAATTTTTTTGTAATATTTTATTAATCCCCATATTGCTTAATATGCTTTAAAGTTTAATCAATATCGGCTAAGAGTTTATGCAAATTTCACATTAAGGTGAGGAAAGTTGCACTGTGTGTTTAGGACAGCTCCAGATATTTATATGGATTTTTATGGTGAAATGTTAGTTTGGGAATGTTTTTCTCTTTTTTTGCTGCAAAGCTGTTATTTTTTACGGAGCCCCTGAAGGGACATGGAGGGAAAAAATATACTTTTGCGAGATCTCGCAAAAGTTTAGCGGGATCTCGCAAAAGTATTGCGGGATCTCGCAAAAGTATTGCAAGATCTCGCAAAAAATAAAATTTTGCAAGATCCCGAAATACTTTTGCGAGATCCTGCAATACTTTTGCGAGATTCCGCAAAACTTTTGCGAGATCTTGCAAAACTATTGCGGGATCTCGCAAAAGTATTGCAAGATCTCGCAAAAGTATTGCGGGATCTTGCAAAAAATAAACTTTTGCGAGATCCCGAAATACTTTTGCGAGATCTCGCAAAAGTTTTGCGGGATCTCGCAAAAGTATTGCAAGATCTCGCAAAAAATAAACTTTTGCGAGATCCCAAAATACTTTTACGAGATCTCGCAAAACTATTGCGGGATCTCACAAAAGTATTGCGAGATCTCGCAAAAGTATTGCGGGATCTCGCAAAAGTATTGCAGGATTTCGCAAAAGTTCTTTTTTCCCCCCTCCATGTCCCTTTAGGGGCTCCGTAATTTTTTTTCAATGAATGTGAGGAAATAAGTTGGAAAACTTTCTAGTCAGCTGAGTGTTTAAAATCTTCGGATCACTCCTATGATTGGGTCACTTTTAACCAATAGGATCTTAAATAAAGAAAAACTGTGAAGAAATGTGAGGTTGAGCACAACCCTGAGGTGTGGATAAAAAATAAAGCTGAATCTTTCAGGAATTGTCCTAAAAAAGGAGAAAAATACCTATTAGATAAATAAAAATCGCCAACGTTTAATATGTCAATGTTTTTTTTATATGATTCCATTACATAAAATATCATATTCAATTATTAATAGTGAAAGTTATGCCATTTTACTTCAACTTGTATATTAATTATTCGGAAAAGTAAAAACAAAAACAATCCACTGGACTTGGTTTCCAAGTTTGAAGACGGTTCTTGGAAACAAATTCCAGTGGATTGTTTTTTTATTTTTTTTTTTATTTTAATGACTGTGACCTGGATGACTGAGAATCTTCAACAGCATATATTAATTATTTATGTCGGCGCTAGGATTACTTTTACATTTTATAGATATCAGGATGCCAAATGTGTTGATAGATAAGATTCTGACTGAAACTAAATGGTCAAATTGAAGGTGTTCATATGAACTATTCTCCATTTCGTAAAACACAAGTTATTGTTTTATTAGCATGATTACATGACTTCACACAGGCTTATTTCTCATATCCAGTCATCAAGAGTATGTTTTTAATGCAATTCAAACATTCAACACTCCAGGATGTATGTTTCTGTTGAAGGGCAGAGGAACTCCCAGCAAATAGAATTAGCTCTACACTAGTGAGCACAATAAATGGAAATAAACAAATGTTGCACACAAAAAATGTGCTGCACCATTTTTTTTTCATAACTCAATCTCACCTCTTTGTCCTTTATAGCAGATAATTATTTTTTTAAAACTTCATTTTCTTTCTTAGCTCTTAGCATACAGATACATACTGCAACTGGTTTTGTTTCAGCAGCAAATTTGAAAGCTGCAGGTCTGTTATGCGAGTCAAACCACCAACAGGAAACTGCATGTCTTACTGGGTCTCACTTTGAAGCACTGGTTAAAGGATATGGCTACAGGTGCTTTTCAAAGCAGGACACTTTGCTACGTGTCCTTTTACAGAATATTCTAACTGTTCTAAAGCCTATTTGAAAAATGATACAAATATTTAAGTTTTTGTCTTGGTAAGTTTTTGCTCAATATAATCTAATCAGAGGTTAATATCTCAAGAAAGATTTGTGCAAAGTGCAAACACCAGATTAAATTAGGTGGTCAGCATGATCATATCTAGAAAATGTTCTTGTTTTTGTTCATGTGCTGAGGTGTACAGATATAATGTGCTGGTGAATATGTAATTTTTCAATTTTTTCCTCACAAAGACCAAAGAACAGCTCATATAGTGCAGATAATTAGCAGTGCTTTTATGTTACGTCTCCAGGGTAAACAAGTCAGTTTCCCTATTGCTTTCTGAAGGGGTTTAAGCAGGTAAGGAACATGAAAGAATGCATCATTACTTCCTTCAGCCTTCTTTACTTGCATTCATTTTAACTCTTAATCGGTTGTTTGTTTCCAAAAAACAAAAACAAACAAAAAAAAGAATCCAAGAGGAAGAAAACATTTAATTTCCATGTGAGATGCTACCTGAGTGGTTCAAATTACGTTTTAAAAACTGCTATACATTGATGTTCTTGCTTAAAAGTAGTTGGTCAAAGAAAAAAAACATTGTGTTAGGTGGCACTGGAAACCTCACAGCAGAGCTCCTGAACAGGAAACCACATTTTATCATCATGGAAATGCTTTACTGAGACCCCACACTGCTTCATCCGGCTGCCCTGCTTAGAACCTCCGAGTGAGAAACATCTAAATAAACACCATAAAATGCATTTTAACAGTTGGATAAAAGCGTCTGCTAAATGCATAAACATAGAAAGAGAAAAATTAAGCTCATTTCAACAAATGACTTTTAAGCGTTGTCCTTCCATGAAAGTATACTGGCCAGTCTTTTTTTTTGCTGTAAAATCAGTAAAAACATTATGTAGAACGAGAGTTAAAAAGAATGAGAAATTGGAATAAAAGTGTGTTTTTATTATAAAATCTTATTTCCGTTTTGTTTTGGAAGATGAAGCTCCTTCAGTGAGACGTTTGTTACCTCAATGTTTCAGTCAAAGGCAGAGAAGGTCAATAAATGCTTCTTTGGAATGAAGCCACAGTTAAACTGGAGCAAATTATATTTAGAAATGCAGATATAGAAAGGTGTTTTTTTATTCCTAGAATCTGACAGACCACCCTTAAAATTTAATATTTAAATCTTTTGCATAATAAACAGCACACTCTTCTGGCCAGAATGTGCAATTACAAATTTAAACGTTTCATGGCAATCTAGCATTTTTTTAACATATAAATCTAGATTTTTGTCAAAGATCCCATCAAGTTTTGATGAATATGAAGGCGCATAGCAACCAGCTGACAGTGCAGTGATTGTTCGATAAAAAAAACAACTTATGGACAATGTAATTCTATATTTGTTTAAGTTACATTATTTTTGAACAATGACAAAGTACTGAGACCATTAGAAAGGACTAATCTGAAACTACTTAATCTGGTTTTACGTTTTATTTTGATAAGATAAATGGCAGAGATAGAAAAAAATGACAAAATGATAGAAAACAAACAGAATATTTAAAAAAAATCCTATGCTGTTCATGAACAATGAGCTGGAAAAAGAATTTAAACACTGAAGCTGGAGCATAAAACAACCCGAGTCAGTTATTTTAATTCCCAGTTTTGCTCAGCAGAAACTCATTGTTTTACTTTTCACTTTTCAGCACTCATCTTTGCTCTCCCCGATTAAGAAGAGAGATAACAGTCCCAGATCGCTTTAGAAATGTGGTGGTTTGATAAACTTGCTCTGAAGGAAAACTCTAGGAACACAAAGTCCTTCTTTCTTGTTGACCGTCTCTCTCAGGACATATTCATTAACCACAGACTGGAAGCCGGCCTCCTCAAACAGCTCAGCCAGGAACTCTGAACACAGACGAGACAGAGGGAGACTTTAATAAAACAATATTGAGGTATGTGATATTTATGATGGATTAGAAAGTCTGTTTTACAATCACAGCCACTTTAATATATCATAATTTAGATACATGTTCTGCATTGAAATAAAAAATACATTCCAGCAGAGTCTGTCTGTTACTAAGGGAATAAAACATAACATACCTGCTTCTCTTTTTCTCTACTTAAAAATCTAAAAAACATAAACAAATTCCAAACTTTTTTGACCGTTTAGGATCACTGTTTTTCATAAATCTCTCTCTCCAGGTTCATATTGTGACTATTAATCAACAATAGAGCTGCAAAATATAACAATCACAATCCATAACAATCCAAAAGGAGCTCTTAGTTCATACGTTTGATGGACCATTATATTTTAATGGATTAAATTTCACTAAAACTCATCAATAGTTAAAGAAAAAAGAATGAAACTGGGGAATAATCACAATGACATCAACATAACAGACATCGGGTTAAATTCATTAAACTAAAAAAACACAAGTATTCAATATGCTTTATTTTAATTTGATGCTGAACAGAATGCAAGAAATGAACTTTACTGACCTTTAGAAAAGAAGAAGGACCTTGTTCCATCCTGGCGAACGTAGAAGTTGTCCCCCAGCTTGCTGCCAGATTTAAAGCGGAGCATAGCGTGATCATACAGGCCATAGTCCCTGAACAGGACGACACCGCCAGGCTTCAGTACCTGATGCAGAGATTAAGGGCATTTTAGACAGCTCCAATGCATGAAAGTCAGAAAACACACACAGAGGTTCCCACCAGAAATCCAATGCTTCAAAAAAAAAAAGGCTGAAATTGTATATGTAAATGCAACTAAAAAGGAAATGTTATAAATGGAATATCATTAAATTATTAAAGAAAACAATTGCATGGGCAAATGTGCATGCATTTAGTCACACTGTGGAAAGAGAACACATAAGTCATCTGAACTGTGTCTAAAGTTGTAAACAGAAGATGTCTGAGTGCAATTGAATGCAGCAGGGATCTGCTAATTAGCAAACTCCACCCTCCGGGAGGAGAATGCCAGATGCACCAGAGGAGCCAGAAACATTTGTAAAGACTCCTGCTTCTAGCTTAATATCAGTTCAGACTGATCCTTCAGGTAGGACCTGTAGGGGGATAAAGGCCAAACATATATTTTTTCTCCACTCTGTAAAATGTTGCTGCTGATGTTGAATAACATGCTGCTGTCATTGCACATCTCTGCTGTTGCTGCTATTTCTCATATCCACTTAACTGTTACAATGCTAGCATATGTTGGTTATTTATTCTTTATTATTGACTATGCAGTATGTATATTCAAAAATTCTTTTTGCTCTTTCTGTGCAGCATTTGTAACATTTTTCCACTTAATTTTGTTATTTATACACTTTTTACTCTACATTTGTGTGACCCTTTTACTGTCCTGTTATTTTATGATGCAGTTTTTAATATAGTAACTAATATATATTTTATGATCTCTAGTGCTGTGTTTTTTTTTCTTTTTCATCTTATTAAACTATTGTTTGTATATTGATGCTTAATGGAAGAAGTATCTGTATTTTTCCCTGCATGTCATATAACCATATAAAGCAATTCAGTGTTTGTGAGGGGCTGGTGAGAGCAGAGGCAACAGCATTAGCTGCACAGTTCTTCCAAGCACTAATGGTTCCTTTTGCATGCATATTCAATTATATGAGACCCATAAACCTTTCTTGTAGTAATTGTGAGACATGAAAGCATTGTGGAAATTTCTGAGCTACTAAAATGTTTCCAGAGTAACCAAAAACAACGCTTGTTTTGCCATCTCTGCTCTTACCTTGCCAATGTTCTGCAATGCCAGCTTCATCTTATCAGGATGGACAGCCGACAGGACAAAGATGAGAGTGACGACGTCCACGCTGCCCTCTGGAATATTTTCTGTCAGATCGTCTTTTGTTAAATCACACTGGAAGGCACAGCAGCGCTCAGGCCGGAAGAGAGGATTTTTCTGTCTCAACAAAACAGATCAAAACTTTCACTATTCACAACCACCAAGACTGCTGGTTGTAATAATTATATAGTTCCTTTGTTATAATTTCTGTTAGAAAGACACGAACCACAACAGAAAGCCTGACTTCTTTCAAACACTTGTCACTTTTTGCAAACTTTGCATTAAAGACTGGCTAAATATCTAAGCGTCTGTAAACAACAAAGACAAACAGGTTGAACTCTTACTTTCACAAACTCAACAGCGCGGGGTGAGAAATCACATGCATAAACAAAGATGTTCAGGTCTTCCTCTAATAGAGGGAAGATGCAGTTTCCTACTCCACAGCCAGCCTCCAGGAGAACCAGCTTCTGGGACTCAAACTGTAAAAAAGAAAAAATACAAAAACTTCTGTCAAACAGCAATATTATATATTGATGTCATCTGTCCTATTCCAGAAGTCTGATTTATTTAAAGGATTCTTTTGGAAACATATGCAGTGCTGCCATTTTTAAGTGGAAATGAAAGTCCTCCAAACACCTAGCTTGATCCTTTTATGATGTCCTGACATGAAAAATAACATTTAAATATGAAACATTCAACATTGGAGCCTCGCCCCTTTTTTTGGTCAATTAATTTCAGACATCTGCTTCTTTTGGAGGCGGCAGTCTTAAATGTTTCTCCAATTAACAAGCAACATAATTTGCCTCTAGTAGGTTTATTGCTGATGTCTTCACACCAGGAGCGGAGCAAGACGGGGGGCAGCAGTAATACTATCAAGAGGAATGTTTAAACTTATTAAACATATTAATATTAATCATATAAATAGTTACTTTACAACTAAAATGCTGTGGTTAATTATGCACATCTAAATACTAACATTATAGTTGATATATACAGAATTCATGCTCTTTAAAGACCCTAATTTTGTGTTATATGGGGTAAAGAGAAAATTATGTGTCTCTGAAAGTCATCAAGGAGTTTTCAATGAAATGATAGATAAATAACTACTTTAATAATAACTTAAAAACCCATTTAATGTAGATATTAGTACATGTAATATTAATGTTACGCAGAACAAGTTTTTATAAAAGTAGGTAAGTAATGACAATGGAAAAGATATTTTGTATAGTGGACAAAATGTCCACTATACCTTTTAGACAGCATGGGTGTTTAAATATATGCATCTATTTGTAATTAAAAGGCTGTAGTAAAGTATAGTTTGCCTTTATTTAGTGAATATGGATTTTGTGCTTGTTCCTGTTGGAACAGTGTAGATGGACCCTGAGGTTCTGGCGCTTATCCGCTTTCGGCCACCCCTCAGTTTACATTGGTTTGGCAATCCCTATTAAGATTTTCTGCCTATGCCTCTGCTTCACACCTTGACATTATGTCAACATAGCTCTAAATGTTTAAAAGTTTCTGTTCAAAATTCTGTTGTTTTGACTTTGTGGCACCTATTGGTCAGGTGAACAAAAATATTTTATTTACTTGATTAATTTGATTCAATTTAATCCCTTCGAACTAGAAAGATTGCTGTTTTTAAGTCTGTGAACTGCAAAAACTATCTAGAAATAAGTATAAATGTCTAAATCTAAGTGTATTTACCCTTAATTTGAGTAGGTAAATACATAGTTTGCCAATAGAATGAGTATTGTTACTCTTAAGTAAGATAATTAGATAATAAGCACTTGAAATAAGACAATGAAATGTCTTTTTTTTCTCATTCTAAATGTAAAATGTCTTGTTCCATTGGCAGTGTCCTCAATTCAAGAAAAAAATGCACTTATTTTAATTAAAAAAATGACTTCATTAGATTTCTATTGTTTGCAGTGTAGTAACATTTTGATCCTTTAGTTTCCTTGTACCTTTACTCTCCCATAGCCTTCAGAAATGTAAAAGTTTTGTACTGTCTGCTCACCTCTCTACATGCTCTAAGCTCCTCAAACTCCCTCGTGGTCCAGTGTCTGTCTTTAAAGAAATTCGTCGTATTTCTTTTGTAAAACAAGTCCCAGTTTTTTTGAGCTTCTTTTTCCAGTTTCATCTGTTTGAAGTCGGACACCAAAGCTCGCTCGTTGTTCAGTCTGTCCAGCTCCTCCTGAGATAAATGTCTGGCTGTGGAACTTGTGTGTCCAGATGGAAATGCTTCATCTTTGGAAGCCGCTGATACAGTTTCTGGAGATTCAACTTCATTCTTATCAGTTGCTGTCAGTGACATTATACAGAGCAACTTGGCTGGCTCTATATATTTTAATTTAAATTAAAAAAACTAATATTCTACACATAAAACAACAAATACTAATAGCTACATTATTCCGCTGTTCTTCTTCTTCTGCTGCTGCTGCTGCTGCTGCTGCTGCTGCTGCTCTTCTTCTTCTTCTTTTCTATTATGGCGATCGCAAGCAACTTTAAGGTGCATACTGCCACCTACTGTACATGAGTTTGTAGCAACATTACTTTATATCAAATTATATATATTTTTATTTTGTATTATGTAGATAAATAAATAACGATTTCCTTAATCAGTGAATATCCTTTATATGTCCATCATTTCCCAATATTGATTTCAGACTCCATTCTTTACGTGTCCTTCTAACCATTCTTCTCAATTTCTCCCTTTCATGTTCATAAGTTTTACAGTTCATTAGTACGTGTTCTACATTTTCTTTTTCTCCACATCCTTCACATTTATCCTTATTTTTCCTCCCTATTAAATATAAATTGTCATTTAAATGGGTACCATTATTACCCTTTCCCTTCTGTTTCTCTCATTAATGATTCTATTAAATACTGATTTATTTTTTACCTTATATAATCCTCTTCCTTTCTTATTTTTATTCCACCTCTTTTGCAATTTTGCCATTTCTTTACTCTTAATAAGTGATTTAACTTCCCCTTTACCAAAAGGAATTGTAATCATTATTATTCCCTCTAAAGCCCCTTTTGCTAATGTATCTGCTTTTTCATTGTCTTTTACACCTTCATGTGCTGGAACCCAACATAACCAAATATTAAAACAGACTGTGCTGGATTTCTAATTTCCACTGTTGGGCGCCATCTTGTTTGTTATTTTATCTCTCACCCGTGACGTCAAAACCTAACGATACTTCCGTCTCACTATTAAAAAAATAAAAATAAATAAAAGAAAACAATAATATCACATAAAATCATGCAATTATTAAGCCTTTAATCACGTTAATCAATAAAAAATTCCAAAAAGCAACTTTCGTACTAAATTTAGACTCGACCCAAAACCGGAAGTGAGCTGTTGTTTTGCTAATTGTTAGCATCCGCAGGCTAACTTTTTCTTTATTTGGATTCTCTGTTCAACCTTTCTAAAGTAGCCAGACCTAACCCAGCGCCTCGAAATATTTAACGCAAATGTAAGTTTTTTACTTATTTAAACCAAACTCGACCATGAATGGGAGTACGAATCCGCTGCTGGATAAAGAAGAACATGTTTTGAAGCTAGGAGAGAGCTTCGAGAAGAGGCCAAAATCTTCTTTCCACACCATCAGATGTAAGTCCTAAAGGCGCTGCTGTGTTTTTTTTTTTGTTTTTTTTTTCACTTTTATGATCTAAAAATACAGCTGGGTGGATTATTACACAATAATTACATGATTACAAAAAATAGAATTAGTTGCGTCACATGTTTTCCGAAAAGCTTTATGACATAAAATTAGTGCTTAACATGATACCTGCAGACATTTGTAAAGTTTATTTTCTTGTCTGATTCAGAGGTTTTTACCCATTCATAGTGAAAATGTTCATGAAGGAAGGGGGTGGGGCGTGGGGGACTGCCTTTAAATCGTTCAATAAAATGAATAGGAGTCTTATGAGTGAATAATATAAATAGGAGGTCTTCAACAGGGGGTCCGCGACCCCTAGGGGTCCACGGAGGTACTGCATGGGGTCGCGAAAGTTTTTTTATATTCCCCCTGCAGTTATTTCCACTAATTGAAAAGTCTTTAAATACACATTAACATGAATTCAGCACACTGTAGTAAACGGATAAATGGAGGCAGAAGATGTCTTTCAGTCATCAATGAAAGCGACACACAGGAGCTCTTTCATGCTGGGCACCTTTTCATTCACAACACCCGTCCCATCAATGAGAATTCAGAAACAGAAGTACTTTATTAATCCCAAATTACTTTAAATTAGTTAAATTACCATCTATAATAGAGTGACTATAGGACCAGTTTGATACAACACAATTTCATACAATATATATAATTAGGGAGTCCCCGCTCCATCTCGCAATCAGTTTGGGGATCCTTGGCCTGGAAAACGTTGAAGACCCCTGATATAAATAATTGTATTTCTAGATTTTATTCTCCACCTTTTTTGCACTTTCTGTATCTACTATGCAAATGTAGATTTTTTCTTTTTAAATATACCTGTTTTATTATTTATGCCCACAAGTCAAACATAGGTCACAAAGCATTGGCATTGTTATTGATAAACATTGCAATAAAAATACTATTTGTGATAATTACACATTTTCCCCACACAGTTTTTTTCTTATCTATACTGCCAACTTCCCTTATTTTGAGAAGTTTAATTAAATTAATAAAAAAATGTCCATAATAATTTCTTACAGTAATTTTCTGTGGAGTTAAAAAAAGAGACACTCATTTATTTATTATTTCATACATACATTTAATAAGTAATCAAATAACCCTTAAGAATGTTGTTTAAAGGCAATAACATTTAGTCCGCATTTGCACCGCATACAGCTGACTTTATAAAATGGAGCCTAGGCGGAAGTTAAACTGAAGAAACTGATGGCTCTCCTACATCCACCACGCTTTGAACCACATCTCCACGAAAGCCAATCGGCATCCAAAGTTCATCTTAAAAGGCCTCCGATCCAAACTGGTCAGCTACCTAGTGCGCAGGCGGTGGATGAGCTTTGACTTTATTCAGATGACACCGTTTTAAACCACCTCCAGCTCCTCCTCCACCATCGTAGCAAAAGCTTTATCAGATTGTCATTCCTCCCTGACTCTCACTACGTTCCCTGTCTCATCTAAACCGGTCAGGCAGAAGACCGCCATGTTTAGCCTGGTTCTGCCAGAGGTTTCTTCCCAAAGGGGAGTTTTTCCTCTCCACTTCCGCTTCATTCTTGCTCATCATGGACAGGTTCTCTCAACCTGTGTTATCCAACTGGACTTCCATCTTCCAGGTCCCTGAGTGAAGCTCTATTATCAGCTCACGCAGTCCACTGGATCTTTAGACAGATTTTATTTGTCATTTTGTTTACACAAGTGTAAAACAAAAAGAATTTTCATTTGGAAACAGCTCACTGGACAATTTCATCTTTTAAAACGATCTTCCTATGGGATTAATGGGATCTCCCCATAAAGCTCAGCATACCGTCTCCCTAACCAGCAGCCTACAGACTGACCAAGTTCATCTGTCTCCACTTTACCACCAGTTTCAGGCCTGAGGGGGAAACAGCTCTATTCTTTACTCCTGTTCATGCATATCTATCAAAATTCAGCGCTCTTTCCTGCCAAGGTCTGAGCGCCAAAGACCAAGTTATTGTATCAATACATTTCTCCTAATTGTCTTTTCTCTTCGTGTGAGTTTTTGAGATTTAAATGAAAACAAGCAGATTACCATATATCTATCTGTCCATCCTTCTGCTGCTTATTCCGTGAGGGTCACGTAGGGGCCGGTGCCTATCACCAGCAGTCTGTGGGCGAGAGAACAAGTCGTCAGTCTGTCACAGCGCAACACAGGCACACAAACTCACACCTAAGGAAAATTTAAAGAAGCCACTTAACCTAACAGTCATTTTTTTTTTGGACTGTGGAAGCCGTGGTTACCATGAGAGAACCCGCGCATGCACAGGGAGAACATGCAAACTATGGGCCAAGAATCGAACAGAGAACCTTCTTGCTGCAAGGCAGCAGTTATACAATCTGCACTATATGAGCACTATATTTTGACAGGCAAAACTTAACATGAAACCTTTCAGTGAAATCTTTCAGACTCCAGTATTTCTACACTGGCCCAACAACTTAATTTAATATATACAAACATTTTAAGAAGTAATCAACGATGTGATAATTTCCTTCATTTCTTTTTCAGATGACTTCAAACCAGCATCTATCAACACGAGTTGCGAAGGAGAACTACAAGTTGGGAAAGGAGATGAAGTTACCATTACACTACCTCACATTCCAGTAAGACTCTCGGCGGAGGACGTTAGAAAGCAACCTCCAACTCCTAAAACTCCAATTTGAAACTTTTAGAATTATGACAGAAGCTGTGGTTGTATAAAAAAATCTGTAAATAATGAAACAACTTTACCGAGATCTCTACAATATGAGCTGCAGCAACATTTATTTAAAGTGTATTTGAATTGATTTAAACTTCAGATTTGTCTCTCAGGGCTCCACGCCTCCGATGACAGTATTTAAAGGAAACAAACGGCCGTATCAGAAGGATTGTGTTCTCATCATTAACCATGACACTGGTGAGTTTGTGCTGGAGAAGCTCAGCAGCAGCATCCAGGTAAAGAAAACAAGGTAAGGAGTTAAAACTTCGGAATGTTGGACATATAAAAAAAAAACATAGTTTTGATTTTTGCTTTATTAGAACAGATAAACTTGATTTAGTATTAAAGACAAAGGAGAAAACAAAGCTTTAAAAGACTAATATAAGGTATACCTGCTGTGTGTTTATTGTACAGGGCAGAGGGGAGCAGTAAGATCCAGGCCCGTATTGAGCAGCAGTCAGTTCGCTCCAGCCAGCCAAGCTCTCAGTTCCGGGCTCCAACCAAGCCTGGAACTGGAATCAAAACTTCCCCCTCCCAAACTAAGGACAACCCCTCCCCTGAGCCTCAGCTGGATGACATCAAGAGAGGTGAGAAGGTTCAGCCATACGCACCAGCGCTTAATCCTACACAATCAGAGGCTACTGAAACATTAAGGAAATATAACCCTGCTGATTCCACGCTGACAGAGCTGAGAGCCGAGGTGGAGGTCATAGAGCAGATGAGCAGCAGCGGCAGCAGCAGCTCCTCTGATTCAGCCAGCGCTTCGGGGAGCGGCGACGACAGCAGCAGCAGCAACGGTGAGAACGACGCCCCGCGGCCTCTCAGTCAGACCTCCCCCAGCCGTCTCCCCATCGTCAACGGAGGAGTCGACCGGCAGCAGGGCAACAACCAGCTCATCAACACGCTCCGTGAGTGTCTGACTTTTCACCATTCGCTAGGAAATCTTTTCAGGAGACATTTGCTCACCTGCTTTCTTCTGCCGATCAGGAAACGACCTTCAGCTCAGCGAGTCGGGCAGCGACAGCGACGACGACTGAACTCTCCGGGTCAGTCTCTCGTCC